CGAACTAGGTGTGACCTTCTTATGAAACTTTTCCCACAGTCCAAGCATGTGTGGGGTCTCTCTCCTGTGTGGATTGCCTGATGTCTAACATGGTCTGACCTTTGTATGAAACTTTTCCCACAGTCCAAGCACTTGTGGGGTTTCTTTCCTGTGTGGATTGCCTGATGTCTAACAAGGTCTGACCTTTGTATGAAACTTTTCCCACATTCCAAGCACTTGTGGGGTCTCGCTCCTGTGTGGATTGCCTGATGTTGAACAAGGTTCGACCTTCTTATGAAACTTTTCCCGCAGTCCAAGCACCTGTGGGGTCTCTCTCCTGTGTGTAATGCCTGATGGCAAACTAGGTGTGACCTCTGTATGAAACTTTTCCCACAGTCCAAGCACTTGTGGGGTCTCTCTCCTGTGTGGATTGCCTGATGTCTAATTATTTGTGTCTTCGAAATGAAACATTTCCCGCACTCGAGGGATTGACAGGTTTTCTCTCCAGTGTGGCTGCTCCCATGGTTATTAAGATCTAAGAGCTTATTGAAGCTTTCCTCATCGTCCAAGCATTGAAAGGTTTTCTCTCCAGCACAGATTGTCTGATGTGTCACAAGCTGTGATCTCACAATGAATTCTTTCCCACACTGAGGGTAGTGCCCGGGTGTCTCTTCCTTGGGATTTGTCTGCTGTGCTCTGGGATCCTTGTCTCCTTCCCCGCCGTTAATAGATTCATCCACTCTCTTCCCTGGGTGGTTTTCCAGAAGCCTCTCGGACCTGTGCCAGTTTCCCCAGTCCTCTTCCTGCTCCAAGCACTGGGAAAAATTCCCTTCACCTCTTCTAACAAAGGTCCCCTGCGGTTCCACTTCCCCGGGAACTTCCTCATGATGATTCCCCACCTCACTCTCACTCCCTCGCTCAGCACCTGCTGGGAGAGACACAATCCAGACAGGAGTCATTGTGCTCGGGAGAAAGAGGAATAGCACCGAGGGCAAACCCAACACGAAGACTGAACAATTGGACTCCGCCTCCACATCCCACCCAAAGACTCACAGGGAAGGAAAGCTGGGAAGCAAACTCCTGTAGTTAAGAGGCTGGGTGGAATGGCGTGAGCTATATCTCATGACTGCAGCCCTGTCCTGGCTGAGATGAGGAAGAACTGAGGGCGCTTACTCACACCATATTTTGGGATTTTCAACTTCTTCCTTCATTCCTTGGATTGTTTCTGTCTCAGTCCTCACCTGTGCGGGTGGATCTCGGAAGCCTTCTTTCCTTGCAGTCCCGGAGATCGGGCACCCACGGCTCTTCCCCTCGTTCCAGCTGGGAGATCAGCTCAGGTTTGGGAAAGGGGAATCCTGTGCAGAGGGTGGAATCAGACCAGATTAGGGCGCATGGAATATTGGTGGAATATTTGTCAGAAAGGACATTCCGTGAGTGGAACCTGTCCCTGTGCTCTGGTGGAGGAACGTGGAATCCAAGAGGACGGGGAAACGGTCACTGAGCCCACGTGCGCAGAGGAAGTTGTCTGGGGAGGTGAATTGAATTATTACTAAAACCCTCACTAGACGCTCCCAGGATCTGTGCACTCTGGGGGCCTTGCTGACTCACACACAGCTCTGGAGTTAAACCCCTCCCTCTTTCTAAACCTGCAGAGCCCAGAGCCCTCCCCATGGCTGGAGCTAGTCCCAAAGAGGGAGGTGAACAGGGATTGTATGTGCAGCCGAGAAACAACACAGACAATGCTGGATTTATGCCCCTTTGAAAGCTGGAGGGGTGGGGATGGTTTAGCTTGTCCATTGGGTTTTGACACCCATGTCCCACTGTAGAGGGCACGGAGATGCAAGTCTCTCTCACACGGCAGCTGTGCATTATGAAACCACTCGCCTCTGATCTAACTGACCAGGGAAGAACATGACCAGATTCATACACGCAGACCCCACAGTTTCTAGTTAGGGTGACCAGATGTCCCGATATTATTGTGACAGTCCCGATTTTAGGGGACTTGTCCCGTGCCCCGACCTTACATCGGTCGAGAAGCACTTTCTCCCGATATCTGGGGACCATCTGGTGGAGGACGCAAGCCGGCCCCACTCATCTCTTCTTCCTGGCCCCTGGGGCAGCACAGCTGAACTCCCGGCACTCACCTGCCGGCCAGCAGGAGCCTGCAGAGTGCTGCAGCCCCACTCCCCAGGCACGCACAGAGGCGGCGAGGAGGTCTCCGCTGCGTGGTGCAGGGGCGGGGCTTGTAGGCGCCGGCAGCGGGCAGAGAGCCCACCCGCCCCCGCCCACCTCGACCCCACCCGCGCGACCTTAGGAGCCAGAGGGACAGGACCTGCCTGCTGGATGCTTCCTGGGTGCTGCTACAGATAATTCTAGCACTTCTGGGACTCACCTGGCCCCTGGCGGGTCCCTCTGGCTGGGGGAGGGGCTCTGCGTGCTGCCCCCCTCCCTCCCTGAGGCGGGAGGTAGAGACGGAATGGAGGCAAGCTGGTGTGGGGGTGGGGGGGCAGGGCATGGAGCCATCAGTGGGTTCTCAGCCCCAACCAATTTTTCCTGTGCTCCGGGGGTTTTCTTTGTTTTGCTCCACCGCCGGCTTGTTTTTTGTCCCCCCCCCCCACGTCCTGATATTTCACCTGTCATCTAGTCACCCTACTTCTAGTATCTGAGGGGACAGGAATCCCTTACCCAGCGAGGTCACCGTCTCGTAGTTCTCCTGCATGACGTCCCTGTAGAGGGCTCTCTGAGCGGGGTCCAGCAGAGCCCCCTGCCCCTGGGTGAAATACACAGCCACCTCCTCGAAGGTCACCGGCATCTGAAACACCAAAAGTCCCCCACTCAGCACCTACTGCTCCAGCCACAATCTCGCTAGTCATAGAGTCATAGAATATCAGGGTTGGAAGGGACCTCAGGAGGTCATCTAGTCCAACCCCCTGCTCAAAGCAGGACCAATTCCCAACTAGTCACGTAGAAGGAAGGATAAAGAAATGGAAGCTCTGGGAGGGCCAGAGTAGCAGAATCCCACCCACATCCTGCTTAGAGAAACTAGGCGGCTTCAGGGGGTGGGGAGAAGGTGAGAGCTCCTTGTCACCCCCGGCACACGGAGCAGGGCAGGGTCTTCTCATTTCCCACACACCTGCCAGACACAGGCTGTTACGGGAAGCAGAGCTCTGAGCCAGAGACAGGGACAGGAATCCAAACAGCTTCCCTTCGTATTTCACTGCAGCCTCAGGCTAGTGGGGTCTCACTCCAGCACTGGGAGCCTTGAAAATGTTCCCAGCCCTGTGCAAGGGGGTTATATTCTGTTTGAGAAATGGGGGAATGTCCCATCTCCCCTCCCCCGTTACCAACGGCCCCACTCAGAAAATCAGCAGGTTTATCACATCCTGTCTCCTTCCTGCCCCTGTCCAGGAGCTCCCTGAAAATCCCCTACCTGAGCTGGCTCCATCACAGCCATTTCCCTTCCCTGTCTTCTGGAAGACGGGCCCATCTGGAGCAAAACGTGGACGTGATTCCTCAGCCTGTCGGGGCAAGAGGGGCGATGGGGGAGGTTACAGAGACGGCTTCAGTCCATATCACACCCCGATTCCCCCCAGCCTCTTCAGACCCTCCCAGTAACAGCATCTCTGAGCCAAATGCTAGAAAAAAAAGCAGAACTAAAGGGGCCACTTTAGGGGATTTCCCCACACTGCCGTGTAAACTCCTCTCTCTTAGGAGCAGCAGGAGCCCTCTGATGGCATCACCTAAACAATAAGC